GAAAGGAAGAGTCCGCAGAAATTTCGCCCTCATGCAGCGGTTGGAAGGTGAGTTCATAATCATTATTATTCACCGCCAGGGACGGCTGAATCTTTCGATTTTGTATAGTCGTTTTCAATAAGATGTGTTACCAGCTTGCCAAATCGTCAATTTTCAATATTTTTCCAATCTCTCGAAGGTTTGAGTTCTTAGAGAGCACTCTCACTGGCTTCTTAGTGTCTCCACTCATTTGTATAACTTTCAATCTTGACTTTTAGTACGTGGAATTGGTTTAGCGTCATATAAATACCTCCTTTCGAACTAATATTTTTTCAATTCATATGCCCCTCTGCCAAATCGACAATTTTCAATATTTTTTCAAACTCTCGAATGTTTTGAGTTCTTAGAGAGCACTCTTACTGGCTTCTCAGTGTTTCCACTCATTTGCATAACTTTCAATCTTGACTTTTAGTACGTGAAATTGGCTTGACCTTCATATAAATACCTCCTTTCCAACTAATATGATTTCAAATCACATGCCCCTCTGCCAAATCGACAATTTTCAATATTTTTCCAAACTCTCGAATGTTTTGAGTTCTTAGAGAGCACTCTCACTGGCTTCTCAGTGTCTCCACTCATTTGCATAACTTTCATTCTTGACTTTTAGTACGTAGAATTGGCTGAACCTTCATATAAATACCTCCTTTCGAACTAATATTTTTTCAATTTAATTACTGTAGTCGTTTGACAACACATTCTTGTCGCACAAGGGCACTGTGCGAGCGCACTCTATTACAGAGCGTTAAATAAGGATTTGCCTTATCTACCGAATTTTTTTTGTTGACTACCGATTTTTTAAGCATAACAACCGCGCTTCAATTAAAATTTAAAAAAAACCAACTTTTTTCTAAAAATATATTGTTTAGGAACACATACTAAATGAATGTTATTTCAAGAAATCAAATAAAAAAATCACAACATTATGTTATGGATTTTAATTTAAAATAAGAAAAGGAAAAAGGAGCAAATGGAAATAGATGCCAATATCGATGCCAACAGCATCGATGTGATTGTCCCTGTTGAAAACGAAAAAAATGACACCAGCTTAGTTTCGATTCCTTGTGATATTTTGACCACTGATTTTCCGACCGTGCGTCCAAAGCCGAAAATCTTACGCAAGCGTCGCAGATCTGTCAGTCCATCGACTAGATTGAATGTGTCGACAAACACAGTGTCAAATCCACGCAAAAGGAAGGTGTCAAAACCAACGAACGCGACAAAGGCTAGCTCAAAGCCTAATTCATTGGCAATTTCACATCTTCAGTCAAAAGTCGTTGGTAGGAATTCTACAGCCACCACAAATTCAAACATGAATTTGCATTCCAAAGTGGCAAGTCGTGATTTTGGACATCGGGTCGGTCATACGATTAACTCAAAATTGTATGAAACAAAAACGGTCTATCTTTCACCGTTTCGGCCAGATACTACTGTTGATGATGTCACCGATCATTTGAAATCACACCAATGTTACAGTGTTGTAGGTGACTTGAAGGTGATAAAACTGGTGAGCCAAAATACAGACACAAGGAAATTATCGTTCGTTTCGTTTAAAATTGAAGTGCCGTTTAAAATCGTTATTTCGACATTATTATGGACAGTTCCATTTGGCCAACGGGCGTTAAAGCCAAAGAGTTTGTTTTAAATTCATTGCCTAGCAATAAAAATTCTAAATCAGTTCCGATTTCGCATTAAGTTTGTTTTGAATTTTGCTAAAGGCAAATCTAAATGCATATGCATGTTGCAATAATATGTTGATTAGTTTTAAACTAGTGAGATTACGTTATCATAATTCCGCCGTCATTTTCATTTAGCGATTTTTTTTATTCACACCCTGACGTTGATGCTAGATGTCACCACTTGTAATTGTATCGTAGTATATCAATGAAATATATGTCATTTGGAAGTGTCATTCAACAGCTGTCAAAACAGTAAAAACAAATATTTTATCTTGTGCATTACATTTTTTTTTCAACGATGGAAAATTTAGCGAACTGGAGAAAAAAACAGCATTTGCGGGAAGTTTTACTCGGCTTTTTTATCGCAAAGAAAACTGCTGCTGACAGTCATCGTTTGCTTGTGGAAACTTATGGTGAACATGCTCTATCGAAAACACGATGCTACGAATGGTTTAAATGCTTCAAAAGTAATGATTTTGATATCAGTGACAAAGAACGACCAGGACAACCAAAAAAATTTGAAGACGAAGAATTGGAGACATTGTTCAAGAGGAGCTTTTCACAATCATTGGGAGTGACTCATCAAGCCATTTCAAAACGTTTGAAAGCATTGGGGTTCATTCAAAGACAAGGAAATTGGGTGCCAACTGAATTGAAACCAAGAGTCGTTGAAAGGCGATTTTTCACGTGCGAACAGTTGCTTCAAAGACAGAGAAGGAAGGGTTTTTTGCATCGAATTGTCACTGGTGATGAAAAGTGGATCCATTACGATAATCCCAAGCGAAAACCAGCATATGTTAAGCGCGGCCAACCAACAACATCGACGTCAAAGCAAGACATTCATGGTTTCAAGGTAATGCTCTGTATTTAGTGGGATATGAAAGGTGTTATCTATTATGAGTTGCTGAAACCGAATGAAACCATTACGGGCGAACGATATCGACTACAAGTGATACGTTTGAGCCAAGCATTGCACGAACAACGGCCTGAATACGAGCAAAGACACGATAAAGTGATTTTGCTGCATGACAATGCTCGGCCACATGTTGCACAGCGTGTCAAAAACTATTTGGAAATGAGTCGATGGGATGTCTTACCCCACCCGCCGTATAGCCCAGACATTGCTCCTTCCGATTACCACCTATTTCGATCGATGACGCATGGCTTAGCTGAGCAGCATTTTCGTTCTTCCGAAGAAGTCAAAAATTGGGTCGATGAATGGATAGCCTCAAAAGATGAGACGTTCTTTCGACGCGGAATCCGTATGCTACCAGAAAGATGGGAAAAGGTAGTGGCTAGCGATGGACAGTACTTTGAATGATGTGTTATTTTAAACATTTATTTAAATAAAGCATTCATTTTCATCAAAAAATTCCCGTTTTTGAGTTGCACCCCCAATAAAAAAAAAATCAAAGTCATTTATAGCGTAAATAACAAAATTTCCAGATGCAGTCTAATCCGTAAATAAATAGAACAAAAAAACCAATTTAAATCAGAACAAAATGTTGTATTTTCACAATATTAGTGATAATTAGTTGAAATGGAATCAAATATTCACTTGTTAATAACATGTTATAATTTTTTCATTTTAAATTATATGATACTTGGAAAACGGCTACAGTTACATTTAAACGATCAAAGCATGAGCGTGAGCATAAAAGCTTTTGAGTGGAGACGCCAAAGATCATAACACAATATACCATACTAAATTTCACATTGATTTTTCACACTCCACGTCGAATACCAAATTAATGTTCTGCCATTCATCTATTAAATGGGCTTGGAAAAATGTTCAACGCAATAAGACAATGACGGAAAGTCAATCGAATGTAGAAGGAATTCAAAGGAATTTTGAAGATTACGCAGTAAAAGTGTAGCAGAAAAGATTTGAAAAAAAAAAACGACTTAAATAGAGTTAATTTCGATATCAAATCAAAAGAGATTATCATTATAAGAACTGAATCGAATATGCGATATTTTTACGTATTTATAATGAGACCTTTAAAATTTTACGGTATTTATCTAAAGTTGCATGAAAAGTGGAAGTTTTGATGAGAATAGTTGATAAGTTTCAGAAATGTTCATCTTTTCACTTGGTCAATGTACCATCTATCGATGTACGTTGATTCTCTGCAATTGTCGTTGTGTACCGCATTCCATTCCACTCTCACGCCAAAATCCACTCGTAAAAATGCATTCAGGTTGAAATGGCGAGGTGATGTCATATGACAATCATGAAATCCGGTCTGGTGTAAATTTCGGTAAACGACTTATATGGTGGAAATGCCACAATGTAAAATGGTAATCATTATTCAATTCGGCATATGTGTGTGTGTGTCACTCGATCATCTTAACTTTCTGCTGCTTAACATTTTTATCGTCAATGCAATTCAAAAAACGAAATAAATAATAAAAGAGACAATGAAACGAAATGCGGAATGTTTGGTAATTCGAAAAATCAATTGTGCATTTATCAGTTGATTGTTGTTCAATCGTTAGCAGCAATTCGTTTTGCAAATAAATAATCATTTTTGAATGACACAGTGAAAGAAGCGTTTGACAACGGAAGAAGAAAAATGGCATAATTATACTATTTTCGCTTATCGACTGGTCTTTCTCCCTCAAGCGAGAAGCAGTTAAATTGATTTTATGAATATAATGTATTTGAATGTCGTCATACGACATATGCGAATCGCATCTTTGCGTCTACGTTCTTTCATCCTTTCTCATTCGTCAGACATGGTATGCACACGCGTTCACTTGCGCGATCTTGGACAACTCCACATTATGGTGTGTTTGAACATGACTGCGGTGGTTTATTCGGTGAAAGTAAAATTTATTTTATTTTGTACATTTTAGGTTGTTGTTGTCTCTCATCTTCGTCTCTGTTATGTTGATCTTTTCACACATTTTGCACATTTTTACGATGTGTTACTGGGTTTTTTTCTCTCTCGTCATCTCTTTCATTCGACCGATAGTGAGCGCAATAAGAACGCACCTCATACCATCCAACCAAGCATTCTTTACGGTGAACATCTTTGCTCTCTCTTTTTTATCTCTTTAGGTCTTTGTTTTTAACTTGCGCATCTTTCATACTCTGCTGGTGTATGCACGAAGTTCAAACGATAAATGCGACTTGATTTCGAATTCATATATAGAATAAACAGTCCGATAAACAATCTTACAATCTATTGTCCATGTTCAACGCGATTTTATGATGGAAAATCGAATGGTGTCGGAACTGTAAAAGATTACACACACTCGTTTCGTTGATGATTGGCGTTAGTGTCAACAGCTAATCACAATTAACCATATTAACTTGACCATTATACAAAATGTGTCAACGCGTACAAGATCAATCGAGCAAGTGAATGAAACGAAACAAATAAATAAAAAACATATATCACAAAAATATCAATTATAATTTCTTATTTCTCAGCAGTGTTTTGAGCGCAACGATTTGTCAACGGTATTTAGATAGATAAGGGAAAAAGAGTATCATTGAAATGCCGGTACCACCACCTTATCAGTGTCAATCCATTTCATTTTCTCTCTATTAGTTTTTTTTTTATTTCAACCGCTCTCGTCTTTCGTCTTTTCTGTTATAATAATTTTTTATCATCATCATTTTTCGACTTATGAATAATTCATTGGAATTCAATTGACTTTGTTTGTTTGTTTTTTATCATACTTTTTCTTTTTTTTCCTCATTTTTTATCGCTTTTCAAATTTTTGAGAATCTAAAAAAAGATCGATCTTTTTCGCTGTTGTTCCGTTATCGACGATCCGTTAATGTTACACGAAATACATGTTGTACAGTCTCCAAAAATTCCAATCACTTAATTCAAGTCATGATTCGGATGTGTGAATTACACAAAATTTCGTTTGAATTGTGATTTGAAAAAAATAATTCCATATGCAATTGCGCATGTAAGAAAGTAAACAAACGATATTCAATGAACGTGTCCCCATTACTAATGTGTGCGAAAATAAGCGTTGTTTTAAAATTACCGAAAAAATAGCTATAAAGTAATGAAAAATCGAGTTGTAACATGTGTTTAAGCACAATCACCGTAAAGTGTGTTATTTGTACCAACACCCGAACATCGGTTTGTTAACAGATATTTTCTCTTCTTTAATTTAACATTTTCACAAATCCTATTCAAGCGATGTTTTTGTTTCATTTCTTGGTTCGTTTTTTTTTTTTAAATAAGTTGACAATTCGTTTCAATTGCATTTTGGTTCGACTTGTGCTGTTCGGGTTGCGCATGGTCTTAATTAACTGATCAAACGACTCACTCGGCAGAAAAAATTTTTTTGGTGGGTTCGATGAACGAACGTTTTTTTTTTTTTTAATTGCCGGCATTTTTGGCAAGCTCTTGTCGAATGGCCGTTTTCCATTGCAATTTCGAATTCCGGTCAATTTTCACGCAGTCACGCATTCGAGCCGTACGCCTCATGCTAAAATTCCTTCAGTATTTCAGTTCGATGCTCAGCATCTCAGTTCGTTGCATTGCACTTATACACAACCGAGAATTTTCTGGTGATATTTTTACGCTCATTGAATGCAGTGGCATGATGAATATTCGCAAAAGTGATCGCTTCATTCCCCATGTATTGCACCAACTAACAGCTCAATGCTACGCGTACTCACGATGTGGTATATCGTTGTGGCGCAACATATGCTTGCCAGCATTAAGCGATTGTCGGTTGAAGCGAACGCGCGCCCAACACAAAACCGAAGAAAAAGAGAAAGACTTTTTTTTAAAGCATTTAATTTGGCTCACAATACGATCAGTTCAGGTGCAAACGTTGCTGTGAAAGGTTGTATTTCATCGTTAACTCTCTTGGTGTGCAAACAAACAACGATTTTTCGATCGAATTGGCTACTTCCAATATATTCCCCCATACGACTTGTCGAGACAGAACGAGTTAAACGGTCGAAACAAATACGACGAGCAAAAATAAAAACAGAAGAAAGAAATTTTTTTTTTTTTTTTTGAAAAAAAGTGGTAACTTAAGAGAAAAAGAAGAAACCAAGCAGAATCTCCAAATTGAACGAGAGAAAGAAAGATTGTGAGTGTGCGTGAAAATGATGCAAAAGAAAATTTATTAAACGGCCATTTAATAAACGCGAATTGCATTCGAAAACAACAATTTAATTGGTTTTCGTGGAACATTTGTGAAAATAATCATCAACGAACAAGCGATTCTTGTGTGTTAACAACAACAACCAACAATTATTCGCGGTGGCGGCCACACAGCAAACATTTATACCATTGACCGATTAAACGGCGAAAACGAAAATTAAGATTTTTTTTTTGGTTTTCTTGTTTTGCTTCGCTTCGATCAAACAACTGACCAGCGAGAAAAAAAAAACGAAACATTTTATGTGCAAAGTGAAGAGTTTTTCGGTGGTTTTACGTTATCGATTACAAACACTTTTTTTTCTTTTGCTCTGGACAATTTTCACTTGGAGCACTGTTTTTTTGCTCTCCTCATCTCTGTGTGCAGTGAATTCACATTTTATTTATATTAATAAACAGTTTTCTTTTATTGCGGACAAATCATTGGATTCATGTACATTTCAAATATGAAATTGTTAGTATCAATGATATGTGCCATTTTTATGGCCAGCAAAATTGCGGCACAAGGATTCCCACCGCAATTCCTATCGGTAAGTTTCTGGTTTTTTTTCTTTATTTGAATTTATGAGCAACCAAAACGATGTCGTTAACTCAAATGAAAGAAAAAGAAGAAGAAAAACGTCCATCATTAATTGCAATTATCACCTCGCCCAATGAAATCGAATATCACTTGATGCAAAAGAAAAACGAAATCTCTCGGAAATGCAGCAGAATGAAAAAAAAATTATTATTAATCAGACCCCAAAAAGAAAGGTGAAATTGTCCACTTGTGCGATTTCAACTTGATTTACGGTAAATATGTATCTTTTTGACATTTTATTACCGCGTAAGAGCACGCCCGTTCGTTAATTTCGTTTTTGTGTGTGTAGTTATTTTTTTTTAAATTTAGTGTGATCTAAATTTCATTATAAAAATCACTTTTTTTACGTTGCGTCCGAGGCAAAAAAAAGTCGTGCTCAACGACGACAGCAGCAGTAGCAGCAACAATATCGGCGACCGCAATTCTACCAAGTTCAAGTTAAGCGGTTAACATTTAAATTAAAGATCCAAAAAAATTGCAATCTCAATTCGAAACCGAAAATGAAAAGTGGGATTAAAAAAAAAGAAATAATGAAAAATGATGCAAACAAAAGGCCAAAAAAATAGGCATACAAAATATTATTTCGGTCTGGCATATGTATTTCGACCGAAAAACTACACTAAACAAGAGGAATTTTGTTTGTTTGCAAATATGAATTCGTTTAAATGGTTGTCGGATCGTCGACATTGCTTGAAATGAAAACTTGACATTTCACCTTTTTCGTTGGCGAATCAAGTATTGTATTCCATGCAAACAATATTTCTCATTGGTTTATGCTATGCGAAATCGTTCGTTTGTCTCGCTTAAGATCGCGCGCGCATCCAGTCACACATTGGCCCAGTTGTAAAGTTGTCTCTTCACAACAAGCACAATTCACCCGATATCCAATGAAAATTGCACCGTAATATTAGAGTAAGAGAAGCACACTCAACAAATCCAGTGATTTGACCTTTGGTTTTCTCTTTCATTTTCTTTCTTTCAATTCAATGTGAAAACATTCAAATGGGATTTGATAAAAAAAAACCACAAACGAGAAGTATGTCTTTGCATCGTCAGCGAGAGCGCATCTCTTGGATTTCCTATTCCGTTATGAATATCGGTTGCTTGTGTTGTGTTCAACGAAAATGTTGTTTGATATTTGCCATAGCATCAACACAGCAGCAACGGCCTCATCATCATCAATGGCAAAATGAAAGAAAGAAAAAGAAAGGCTCGAAAGTTCAAGTTTATTCTGGTTTCTGAAGATATAAATTCGTGCGAATTGCTTATAGTACAGCCCTGATGTGCGCATTTTTGCCTATGAAGAGATTAGTATGATTTTTTTTTTATTTACTTCAAAACACTCTTTATGCACATGAATCTTTTTTTGCCCGTAAATACATTCTGCATTTCTTTCAATTTACAACAACGACGATGACGAGATTCACTGTCAATAAATAAAAAAAACAAGTAAACAAAAAACAGCGGCCCACAAAACATCGATGCGCTTGGTGATGTTTCCCGCGTGCGAATGCATCAACAGCATTAACATCAACACGACATTATCATTTTATTGCACCCCGTTCAAATTTGGACCTTTCTCAATGAAGTGGAACTGCCAACAAAACGGTCGCTTACTCTCAACCAAACACAACAACAAAATCGCACGCGATTCACTCACTTCACTTTCAGTATGGAGAAATCATACGTACAAAGAAACAATATGAAAGAAGAAGAAGAAGAAAAAAATATCGGTAATGTACGAATTTGGAATGTGTACAACTTCAATTGATTCGAATCGCGCGCACATATTCTCTTCAATCGATCGATGCCGATAAAGGAATGTGAATATATATTAAGAAAAACACACACACCTATTTTATCGCACAATTTCTACTATGCCGCCGTCATTTAACTGGGCTTGACCACACTGATGACAACAACAACAACTTCGATAACCAATTGCATTTTTGCGGTCACCGTAAAATTTGTTGTCACTCGTTGAGCCTATCTATAAAAAGTTCCACAAACATACACACGTAAATCACTTTGACTTGTGCACCTCATTTTAGTGGACCGAATGGAAAATCGGAATATAATTGCAAATGTCGACACGTTATCTCGTCGTTGCCCGTCAACAACAAAAAAAAAACGATTAACTGTGTGGCTTCTTTCACGCAATAATAACAATGGCGAACAAAAAACAAACTGAAAATACACATAGACACAATCGAGTCGGAAATGAAGGTTAGAGAAAATCAATTATAACCACTTTAATTCATATACGCATCATGTTCCGGATGTAGACGAACCGAAACAAGAAGAAAAATTATGAACAACAACAACTGACGATGAAAAAGAAGATGATGGAAAAACGCACAACACTTTCTTAAATCTCGTCGCCTCAACGATGTGACCCGTTTCGCTCATTTTTCTTCTGCCACAGCAAATTGCATAAGTGAGAAGATAAACATCATATTCAATAAATATATTTTATTCGTGAATATTTCTTCTGCATTTTCTTCAACAGAACAATTATTTTCTTTTCGTTTTTTTATATGATGTATGAGTGTGTGTGTATTTCATTTTTTCTCAATTTCCTTTTGTAATGATCTGCCACCGACTGAATTCTGCAGAAGAAATATACGGCGACCGAACAAAGTGCTAATAGCCACGAAAACAATAAAAAGAAGCGCAACAAGATTGTGCCGATGATGTTCTGTGCAGATGTGATGTTTGTCAGAGAATCACCTGTGTGTATGTGTGTGTGTACGCAAAAATGACATTTTCGATGTTGTCTGCACGCGAGATGATGTCGATCGTTATACAGCCGTGCATCTTACCGACCAATGGAAAACACATTTATTGCTACAACAACAACAGCACAAAATTCCAAAACAAATGAAAGTAAATTAATATGAATCGTTCGCGATGGTCATGATTTGGTCTCTCTCTCTCCCCCCGAACTCTCACTCGCACATGGGCACGCATGCACACCACAATGATTGTGGCTTGTTGAGATTTTTTCTTTTCGTACTGCTTTTTATTCAACGTTTTTCGTGCGCGCTCATTACTATTCCCGTGTAATCTTCTTCATCTTGATATTTACAGTTTTCGTATGTTTTTGTCTCGTCAACATCGATCGACACACAAAAAAAAAAAAGAAACAAGTTACGGAATCACAAATGGCAATCGACCCATTAAGAAAAAAAAAAGAGTTTCATTGAAAATCAGCTTTTTTCATCTTCTTTTTCTATCACTTTGGACGATTTTTTTTTCTTTTCTTTTGCAGTTTCTGATTTTCACTATGTGCAATAGAAAATAAAAGAGATTTGTTCACGTAATTCAAACGCTTAAAATTCACCATCGCGATCGATTAGTTTAAACGACAATTGACCAAATTGGTTTCGGTTAAACAAAAAAAAGTAAATAAAAAAATCGATCGTAAACCAAACTCATTTTGATAATTCCCAATGCAGATTGATTTTAACGTTGTGTAACTACTTTTGACTGTGTTGAAACCAACCCAAATGGCTCCTGTTGCAAAAAGTTGTATTTTTGTAAAGAGATTGTTTGATTCTTTGAAAGGGAAAAAAATGACACTTTTTCTCGAAAATTAATCGCCATCGATGAGCCGATCTAATAGCAATTTCGTAATCAAAACGATGAAATTGAAAGGCGTTTATAATAATGAAAGGTAACTTCCTTTGGCTCAAATCGTCGAACTTCTTTCTCTTTTTTCGGGATTTCCACACAGGTTCCATCAAATCCCATGAATGATATCGCGTTCGATATTTTACTAAAAATTGAAATTGACCTTCACACACCCTCCAACGCGTCGATATGGGAATACTGTTCAAAATCCACAGTCAATTTAACTATTTAGCAACTTGCCAATCGAAAGTGTTCACTATCGTTTTTTAACCATTTGGGTTCATTATTTTTTGGTGTGTTCATAATTTATCGAACAGTAATACATATAAAAAAAAAATTTAGAACCAGACACAATGTGTGAAACAAAAGAGAAACTGTGTTTGTATGTGTATGTTTATCGATTTGGTTGTGCGTAGTTCTCTAGGTAAACAACATTCGTTTCTCTCTAGCGTCTCATTCATCAGTTTCTACACCATAATAGAAACAATAATCGGTTTGTGTGTTCGAAGCCATACACATCGATGACCATTTTCGGTAAGTGCTAGTCGACTTAAGTGTCGATTAGTCAGTGGCAATTGCGGATAAAAAGAAAGTTTTTATGAGACAGAAATGGATCTATGATGAAGAGGTTGAACCTACATGAAATTATCGATAATTAATCAGACGGATAAATAAAGATTTTCGGCGCGTACAACCGACAAACAAACACATTCGAAATGTGAATTCAGTTGCGTTTTTTCCCCCGAAGTAATTGGATTGACCTTTTTCAGTGTGAGAGTAGCTACAACTACCCGTACTTTTCTCCGAAAAAAAAAACAGAAATTTATCGATTCTGATTGGCCATTGGCCGCAAGCATCAATACACTTTAAATTAACTGATCAAGATAAACCATTTCGGTAACTGATTTTTCTGTATGTTCAGACCGTGTGCTACCTTTAATATTCCAAAAAAAAAAAAAACGTTATCGACACATCGCCGGACCACAACAAAGATCACACAACGGCAATGAAAGAAAATGAAAATTTTTCTGCAAAAGGCCACGCTTTTAAAATCACCATGTCATCATTGTATGCTTCCGTTGCGTTGCGTTCTCAAATAGTACATACACACTTTGGCATTTGCTTTCACAAAAAAAAAAACATATACCTTTACACCTCACCAAAAATGTGTGTGATTGATTGAAATTAATTACAATTCAAGAGAGTGAAAAGATAATCAGTTTAAGAAAATCGTGGCTTTAAGCTTTTACCTGTTGTGTTCAAAACGTGTGGTTAAATTCCATTTGTTTTATATATCTTTCTTCTTTGCAATTTCAA